AAAAAAAAAAAAAAAATTGCAAAACACACGCCTCCCTGCAATCTTTTCTGGTGACGTTTCTTCATCGATCATGTATAAAATTTGTGTTTTTACAGATTTGTATATTGGCTCACCTTTATTCTGATTCTATCTTTATATAATCATAGTAGTTGTTGAAGGTGTAATGTTTGTGTTTCATATTATGTTTCATATTCTGATTTTGGCTTTGTAAAAAAAAATATAGCTGAAGGTGTAGTACTGTTTCACAGTTTGGTTGGTGGTAAAAAAGAACCCTTTTTTTTTTGTTTTTTCTCTTGTTTCTGTTGGGCTCTGGAAAAGAGTAATTGCCTTGACTTTAATTTATATGTTTATATTATATATAGCTTTTGTTGTACCCTGAGACTCACTCAAGCCAGCGCTTAATTACTCACCTCTCAGTAGAAACGGTTGTTTGGTTTGCTGTCAAGAACATTCCAACAGAGTACCATTCACTGTTTTGCATCAACAATTCACAGATTTTAAAAAATCTCTTTTGTGAATCCTAAGAACTATAATATATATATAACATGTATAATCACTATTGGAATGAGTAAGTTAACTATATGTGTTCTCTTTTCCACAAGTAGGCATTTCTGTTAAAACGATTGTATTTTTTAGTGCTTCAAAATTGGTTGTGCAGTAATAAAATTTTTGTTCTCTTATGTAGATTTCTACGAATGGCGCCAGGAATCCGTAGACCTAAAATTATTTCAAAAGCTTCTCTACAAAGCATGCTTAACCAAGCTGCCAAGGATAGCTCAAGTGCTGCGTCAGCTCGTATTGGAGTCAGAGCACATCTTAACCAATCAAATGTGCCATCAGATGTGTATCTGCTGGAGTGAATGGAGCAAGTCGAACTATTGAAGTTCATCATGGTTCTTCTGGAGAAGGTGATAATACTACAGCAAATCACACTAATGAGAGTGGCATTCCACAGACGCTTGAAGCTTCCAACCAGAATTTGAATGCAGCTGAAGCTGGTAACCTTCACGATACATCAATCAAAGGTACAATATGTTTTTTACTTAGGATAACTGTTGGAATAGTTGGAGGTACAATATGTTTTTACTTAGGATAACTATAACTATTGGAATAGTTGTTGTTTTCAGTGAAAAGTTGTTGTTTCTGTTATTTTTGTTATGTTGGAATTTGTTGTTGTTTATTTACTAAGGCACATTTCATTTGTTTCCTT